GGAGAAACTTAGCAGGTCTGGCAGCAACTGTTGAGAGAAGGACAATTCTGCCAGACCTGCTAAGTTTCTCCACAACTTCTGGTTTTGTTTCAGATTTCCAGTTTCTGCATTTCTTTGTTTTATTCATCTGTTATCCGTCCTGCTTGCTTCCCAGAACATTTAACTATAACTCAGCAGGTCTGGCAGAACGGTCCTTCTCTCAACAGTCGCTGCCAGATCTGCTGAGTTTCTCCACAATTTGTGTGCGTGTGAGATAGAGATTAAGGTTGGTTTGTTTAAAGGTGGGCAAGGGGAGAACGGAACATTGAATTGTGTATTTTACTGGTCAATGGCGTATTTTTGACAAATAGCAATCTCCAATTCCAAGCGCAATTACCACCTATTTGATCTTGATCATCAAAGTAATGGAGAGGATCATCAACAATGCTATTAAGCAGCAGTTGCACAAGCAATAATCTGCTCCCTGACACTCATGCTCAGCTTTGGATCCCCCTGGGCAATTGATTCCAGATCCCATTACAGCTTTGGTCCAAACACAGACAGAAGAAGTGTATTTCAGAGGCAAGAGGAATTGCACTCTTACAGCGTGGCAGCATTTGACCAAGTAAAAGGAACCCAGTAAAACTGAAGTCAAAAGAAATCAGAGAAAAGAAAGATTTGTACACACTGCATCTTTTAAAGTTTACCAAAGCGCTTTACAACCAATTAATATGCATCACAAATGCGAAAGCCAAATTGCACACAGCATGATCCTACAAATCGTGAAGACACAGATGGCCAGATAATCTGAGGAATTAGGAAGGCTGTGAGGAAGGGTCACCGGACCCGAAACGTTAACTCTGTTTTCTCCTCCACAGGTGCTGCCAGACCTGCTGAGCTTTTCCAGCAACTTTGTTTTTGGCCAGATAATCTCTTTTTTAATGATATTAATTAATGATGTTGGTAACACCAGAACAAAGGAGCATGCACCTGCTCTTTAAAAATGTACTAAGGAATCATTTACAACACTTGTCAGGAAAGACAATTCCTTCATTAAATGTCTCATGCAAAAAGCAGCACCTTCAACAGTGCAGCACTCCCTCAGTTCTTCACTGACGTTGTAGCCCACGTTTTGTTCTCTAGTCGCTGGAGTGGAAATTGGGCCCATGATGATCTATCTTAGAGGTAAAGTTCTACCACTGAGTTATGCAACTAATTAGTGACCTGAAGAGCTCTTGGAAATTATAAAGGGGTTTGATAACAAATGTAGAGAAGATAGTTTCATTGCAAAGGAGACCAAAATCAGGGGTTACAAACACAAGACAGTCACAAAATAAATTCACTAAAATACACGAAAAGGCAGGTTGTGAAAGGGATACAAATAATTTACAGAGATGTATTGATAGGTTAAGTGGGAAAAATGTGGGCAAATAGTGTATAATGTGGGGAAAATATGAAGTTATTCATTTTGGAACGGAGAACAAAAGAACAGAATATTATTTAAATGGAGAAAAACTGCAGAAAGCTGCAACACAGAGGGACTTGCAGGTACTTCTGTACGAAACATGAAAAGTTAGCACGTATGCTCAGCAGGTAATCCAGAAAGCTAATGGTATGCAAAGGGGTTTCAAGTATAAGAGTAGGGAATTTTTACTGCAATTGCACAACGTGCTGGTGAGAGCACAAATGAGAGTAGTTTTGGTCTCCTTATTCAAGGAAAGGTATCATTTCATTAAAGGCAGTTCAGAGAAGGGTCATGAGGATGATCCCTGAAATGAAGGGATTGTCTAATGGGCAAAGGCTAAACAGATTGGGACTCTACCCACTGGTGTTTAGAAGAATGAGAGGTGATCTCATTGAAATACACAGGAATCTTAAGGGGTGTGACAGGGTAAATGCTGAGAGGATGTTTCCCCTCATGAGAGTGTCTAGGACCAGAGGGCATAGTCTCAGAATAAAGGGGCACCAATTTAAGACTGAGATGAGGAGAAATTTCTTCTCTTAGAGGGTTGAATGTCATTGGAACTCCTTGCTACAGAGAGCCATGGGGCAGAGTCCTTCTGTATATTTAAGGCTGAGATAGATTTTTGATCAGTCGGGAAATCAAGAGAGGAGCGGAAAGTGGACGTGAAGAATGCCACATCAGCCATGGTCCTATTGAATAACGGAGCAGGCTAAAGAGGCTGAATGGTCTACTCCCATTCCTATTTCCCATGGTTTTATGGTCAATAGCAAATTTCAGTAAAAAGTCTTTACCCAGCGTGGTGTGATGTGGTGGCACAAACACAACAGTGGGTGACGACAACAACAATTTACAATTACACAGTACTTCGGATTTGTTTGGTCAACAAAAAACAGAAGCCAAACCGAAGAGGCAGGAAACTTCATGAGAAAGTTCTAGGATTAGAGGTTAGCGATAAGAAGGAGCCAAGGCCATGAAAAGATGGTGACAATTTTAAGTTAATAGCATCGGGGACTAGAAGTTGAAATACACCAATGAGGGCAGAGATGGTAACAAGTAGGACTTGGTGTAAATCAGGATGTGGGCACTGGATTTCTCTACCAAACTCTCATCTTTCCCATTAAGAACTTGCATAGGGACCATAGGCATAGACGTTCCCCAAAGTTAAAGTAAAAATTAAGTTTGTTTGGATTCTAAGTTGCTTTAAATCACATTATTCCTCATTATGGAAGAATTATTATTAAAGAATTAAACATAGTCAGTAAAGCTAACATTCTTCCAAACAAACATCTGTGGATGCCTGTAGACTTCTCTAAACTAACTCCAAACCCTCACTTGTACTTTTTTCAATTGACAAGGGTATCAGCGATAGACAGGAAAGTGGAGTTGAGGCCACAATCAGATTAACCACGATCTTACAAAACAGTAAGCAAAAATCAAGTGCACCAAGTGGCTTACATCTGTTCCTAATTCATACACTGATGTGGATGTCATACAATATTCTTCTAGGAAGAGAGGACAAATCAAATGGTCAGTCTTATGAATCCACTTCTTGTTAATAGATAACAAGATCTGTTGGGTTCTCCTCCCTCCCTATTGCACAGTAGTTAGAGCTCACTAGAATTAGAGCACGTCTTGGCACTTTGCTGAGCAGACAGCATTATGTTTATTTAGCTGAGAACAAAGTTTAATGAAATATTTTCCATTAAGCCTAACACAATTTAATTTGTATTATTCAAAAGATTCAAAGAACATACAATACCTGATTTTCCGCCTGATCCAGCATTTTCTGAACAGCTTCCTACAAATGGTGTAAACATAGGACTGGTAAAAAAAAATTTGCAGTACATATCTGGTACACATCTGATTCTACTTGTTAAGAATGAGTGTTTTAGAAAGTGGATTCATCACAGGAATTTAATAGTTTTAATACATTATTCAAATGCAGTTAAATTCAAAAGCAAATATCTTGTTCTGTCGTGAAAAATGTGAAATAGACGAGGGTACATTATTAACCAGAAAAATATTATAATTCAGCCTTCATAGTGGAAAGTATTTTATGATTACTGCAAATCAAAATACTGCTGATTCACTTCCCTGTGCTCCCAACACTTCCCAACATTCAGCAATATATTAACTGTCAGTTAACCCAAAACCAAGGCAATAATTATTAACTTTTTAAATTACAAATTCTGTATAGCCACATCAGTGTTAGCACCTGGAACATGACTAGCTCAGTCCCTATATGCTGGATATCTAAGACGTGCAGATAAATTTACAAGGTAGCTGAATATATAGAACGGTCGGATCTTCGGTTTACACAGTGGCTTTCAAAACTGTTTGCGAGACTGGCATGAAAGGACTTGAAAAATTATTCAGTTAAATATTTTGGGAGGTTTAATAGCAAGAGGCTATGAGACAAAGCTGAATTTACTAGTAAATCTTTATGTCTTACACAGCATGAAGGGATATCAAATTACAAGACTCATAATTCAAATTATGTTTGCAAACAATTATGAAAAAGATACATCTTGATGTATTAGTCAGTAAGGTCGAGCGGTGGGAACTCTTTCGTGCAGGGCTGTTAAGGAATATCACTTGTATAGGTCCAGATAATTTTCATGAACACATTAAATTCTGTTACAATACAAGGCATCAGAACAATAAGAATGAATTCAAAGTAAGTCCTTTCTAAGTCCTCAGGTTTGTGAGGTTAACTGCTAGCTGAATTCTGTTTGTCTAAGTTTAGGTTAACTTAAGCTGGACAACCTTCCCGAGTATCATTATTGGCTTGATAGTAACTTTCAACATACACTCAAATATACTACAGAGTTGTGCCCAAGCAAAACATTCAACAGACTTTCTTCCTGCAATCAAGCCATACTGTCTGAGCAAAACTTCAAGGTAAGGCATTTCAACTTACCATACTTAAGTTTTAAAAAGCAAATTTTAACTGATTAAGAGTTCAAACTTGCTCCCAGAAGATTATCAATTACCCAGTTTGAGAAAAACAAACGAGCTATTCAGTGAGGCAACACCAATTCAACAGATTTCATTATGCTTTATTCTGAATAGGCGACTTGATTTAAAATTTGAACATCGTGAACCAATAATAGAGAAACTTCTTTTGTAATAATCTATATATTGCTTTATTACATCTGAAGCTGATGCCCAAATCGATAAATAAAACAAATTTAAAAAAAAAGTCACTCCATGGGCTTCAACCCAATATGCAAGTACCTAGCTCGCTTTGATCGAGAACCATTGCTGATTTAACTCAGTTTTACCATTGCTGCCTATGAAGTGATCAAGTTTAACTTTTTGGCTAGCTGCAAATTCCTTTAGTATGGTTTAATATTGAATGTGTTCTAACAGTTAACTACACCAACAGGTCTTTGTGGAATCACAATATGGTATCATTCCAAAAATATGGCAATTAGGACATGGATCTTAGTAAAGGGGACACTGGTCAAGAATTGAAATCTTCTTAAAGCAAGATACTGAAGATTAAAATGATTGGGAGCCAAGTACACTAACATGGCTTTTAACTTCTCTCAACTCTATCCAAATTAAGTTTAGGTGGATAGCAAGTTGCCACATGTCTCCAAACTTATGACACAAAACTACTCCAAGTCTGACAATCTCACTCAGATAAGGCTTAAGATGAGAGATGAAAAACTGACACACAGACTGTTGCATGACTTTGCAGATTCACTCTGCTTATATATGTGTTATGTGTTATAACTGACCAGCAAGTACTTTAATGCTGACTTTGGATGCCTGCAATAGAGAGCATTCCATTCCGAGGACACAACTTGATAAATAAAGAGGAAAATGATATCAAGTCTTTTGTATTTAACACCATTATTCTTTCAGGCTAAGTTCTCCACAAACAACTGTCCTACTTCAAGCAAAAATACAGAATTAAGATATGAAATGCTTTTTAAAGAGGATATATGTTGTGAATTTATCCTCCTAGAGCTGGAATCACCTCTCGTTCTCTCCGTTCCTGCTGTTTGTGTTCCACTTGCTCTTTTTCCTTCATCTGCTGCTGTTCCCATTCTTCTCGTATTCTTCTCTGGGAACACAAAAGAAACACAATCACATTGCAGTCAACACTCATTTCACGGTCCTATTTTAACATCAGAATACCTCTTATTTAAGGATGATCTCACTTTTCAGATTTTAGTTCTGATGTTAAAATCCAAGAGTTTTCAGCATAACTGGAGGTTGTCCCAAACATGGTCTACAATGAAATAAACAACTTCTGAAATATTGGCATCATTTGTGCTCAATTCAAACCATCTACAAAGCTATCAACACCTTGGAACTAACATTCCAAAGGGAGGAAAGAGTGGAGTCAGAGCCCAACTGCAAAGCCTTCCTGCTCCTATGATGCTGCTTGGTAGCCTTCCCGCTCCTATGATGCTGCT